CTGCCCTGGTTCTGTCATTAGCTCTGGCCCTCGGCTTTTGGCAGAACATATGGTGCTGTACCAAGTGACATTAGTTTTAAGGAAATCAAACATTGTAGGGCCTGCAGATTGGGTGTGAGTGATTGTAACTGGGCTTTTCCTTCTTTTCAATGTAGGAAAATGTTCTGCCGCGGCCTTGGACGTACTGGCGAACGTGTTTCGCGATGACTTGCTCCCCCACCTCCTGCCGCTCCTGAAAGGCCTGCTCTTCCACCCAGACTGGGTCATCAAGGAGTCTGGCATCCTGGTGTTGGGGGCCATAGCTGAGGGTAAGACTTGAAGAACTTCTTGTACAAACTGCAGATTTGTGGCCTTGTCTAATGTTTACTGTAGCTACTTTAATTCCTCATTTAGAAGCACAGACAGACTGAAGACTGAGCCACAGGATCATGAAATCTGACTACTATCCATAACGGCACGAGCAGCATCTCCACTTGAACAAATGCTTCCACTTTAGGAGTAGAGTCAGTGGATGGAGGCTGGAGTGTAGTGAGAGGCACTAAGGAGTCCTTAGATGTGAATACGACTGCATAGTTCACTGACCTACTTAAAATCTAGTCATGGGACATGGCCTGTTTGGATTTAAGTGGGCAAGTATAGCTTTTAGTAAAGCATGTCCACATGTTCATATAGACATGTGTTTAAAGCATGCGACTGCACCACTCATTGCTAATTCCTGTTTTTCTAGTCCATCAGGGCTGCACCTTTAGCTTTGCTCTGCAGAAAAGAGGGCTCTCCTTCAGAATATAACCTTCTATTAGGGGTGGGACTTTAACGCGTTATTTTCGCGTTAATTTATGTGTTAAAGTCCAACACCTATTTATCTGTGCTGAGACTATACGCAGATTATCAGCAGACCAAAAGTAGGAAAAGTTTATTCATGTACCATCTTTCAGGAGGAGACCTACAGTACTTCACGGTGGTTAGTCCTGGTCAGGAGAGGCAAAGTGAAGTTATAGTTTAGAGTTAGACCATTCAGACTTGTACATGTCAAATAAAACCCCTCATTTGATGCACGCGTTGATGCGGGACTCCATTTCACACTAAGACGTGCTCTGCTGTGTTGAATACATTTGCATCACTTAAGTTGCCACAGAGGTTTTGCACTAAGTTATAAACTGCAGAGGGACAGAACTGTCAGTGTGTAACCGATCCTTGTCGTGCCTGTCAGGCTGCATGCAGGGCATGGTGCCCTACCTGCCGGAGCTGATCCCTCACCTCATCCAGTGTTTGTGTGACAAGAAGGCCCTGGTTCGCTCCATTGCCTGCTGGACCTTGAGTCGCTATGCACACTGGGTGGTCTCCCAGCCCCCTGACTCCTACCTCAAACCCCTTATGACGGAGCTTCTGAAGCGCATCCTGGACAGCAACAAGAGGGTGCAGGAGGCCGCCTGCAGGTGAGCAGCTTCATGCTTGTTCTCTCCTGCTTATGTGGATGTGATGAAAATCCCAGCTCATTGATGAACAATGATACACTTTGTTCCCATATTTGTCTCTGATCTACATTGTGCGTGTGATATTCATTGACTGTGAGAATCATTTGTGGGCAAAATATTAATGATCTCCATCGTTTGTTTGCTCAGTGCATTTGCCACCCTGGAGGAGGAGGCGTGCACGGAGCTGGTGCCCTACTTGAGCTTCATCCTGGACACGCTGGTCTTTGCCTTTGGGAAGTACCAGCACAAGAATCTCCTCATCCTGTATGATGCCATAGGAACTCTGGCAGACTCTGTTGGTCACCACCTCAATCAGCCGGTAACTGTTTGGCT